ACCCCCATCCCCCCCCCCGCCCGCCCCCCTCCCTCTTCCCCATCCCTCTACCCCCCCCCCCATCCGTATAAGCCCCCTCCCCATACCCACTCCTCTATCCACCCCTCATCCCTACAGGCCCCCTCCCATTGTCCTCTCCTCCCCCTTTCCTCTAGCCTCCTGGCCCTTCCCCTCCATCTCCCTCCCCCAACCCAAACCTACACCCCCTCACCCTCCCCAAACCCCTTCTCCTCTCATCCTCTGCCCCTTGCCCCACCCCATGACCCTATCCCATGGCCCTCCCCTCTGTCCCAGCCCTATGCACCCTAAACCCCCACCCCTTCTCCCCTCTGCATGACCCCTGCCCATCCACCCCATACCTCTTACCCCTGCCCCTTCTCCCCTACCCACCCCCCTTCTTCCTTCCCCATCCACCCCTTCTCCCGTCCCCATTTTCCCCACCCCTTCGCCCCTCGCCATGATGACCCCCACCCCATACTCCTCACCATGACCCCCTCCTTGTACTTCCCATTACCCCCTCGCCTTGCCCTAGTCCCACTCCCTCCCCTCGGTACCTCATGCCCGCCGCAGCTCCGGGCTCCCCGCGCGCGTACACACACAGAGCCGCCGGCGCCCCGCCCGCCCGGCGCAGCCCAAGCCTGCAGCCACCAGTGTCCACCCGCGGACAAGGGACGAGGCGGGGCCGAGCCGCCCTCCCTGTCCAATCACAGAGCGGGGGCGGAGCTGGCAGACATCTATGGCCAATCATTCAGCCGCTAAGGCGTGAGCGCTCCATCTAGTCTGCCCAATCATAAAATGGGAGGGGAGGGACGCCTCTCCCACTGTGACCAATCAGCGTGGCAGAGGCGGGCGTTGCCGCCTGCTGTGTCCACTCAGAGGGCAGCCTTTGAAGGAAGGGCCGTCGCACTTCTGGGTTTGAAAGCCTCTGCGCCGCAGGGTGCTCTGGGAGTTGTAGTCCTGATGGCTGGGTCATGCCAGGACGCTGTAGCAAGTGAGCACGAAGCTGTGGGAGGCGTTTCCCCTCGCTGCGGCTCTGATGCGCCCCTCACCGCAATGTCTGGGCCCATGATCGCACCAAGCCAGGGCCTTGTTGTGTGTGGCTGCAGAGGGACCTGGCTCCACCATTCATGTTCAGCCACTATTCTCCACTTGCCCCAGACTTGGAAGGAAGTTGCTCCCGGCGGAGGCCTGCCTGGCCAGAGAGCTGCTGGGGTCATGGGGAAGGGTCTCTTTGCTATAGGCTGTGGCTGAGATCCCATCCCTGTAGTGCCTGGTACTTACCCACACATAGTAAGGGACAGGCCCTGCCCAGAGAGCTCACAGTTCGTGCCGACAGGGCAGTTAAAGACATGGGGTGCGATTGGCCAGGCTCACCTGCTGACAGGTAGTAGCGCATCCCACTGCCAGCTGAGCTCTGACCCAGCATTGGTGCTGCTGCTAACAACAACAGAGAAGTGCTCAAACCAAACACTTCCAAGCTCCAAAAGTTGGTCCGAGCACCACATGTCGCAGCTTATAAATAACTAAAACGATGATGACTGATGGTGCTCTGCACTTCTACAGTGTCTATCATCTAAGGCTCTTACAACAACACCAGGGAGGAAATGGGGATAAACTGGCCACAAATAAACTTAGCCTGGAAATTAGAAGGCTTCTAACCATCACGTGAGGGAGGTTCCAGAATAGTGTCCCAATAAGGACTAGTTTTAAAATGGAGCTTGGTATATTTATGAACAGGATAATATGAAAGAGCTGCCTGCGATAGCAGGCAACTGGACCTGATGACCAAGGAGGTCCCTTCCAGTCCTGAGGGTTGCCACTTGTCCAGGTTTTCCCAGGATCATCCCTTGTTTGAGGTAGCTGTCCTGGGAGAATCTATAAAGGGGCTCAGTACGCTCTGGCAGCTGTCTAGGTTTATGGGTTTAGCCTCAAGATCATCCCTGATGTCCTGTTTTTTTGTACCTCAGAGGAACCAACCCTACCAGTCACATAAAACCCAGGTTGATTCTCAGACTTTAGGTGGAGACTAGAGTGCAGGATTCAATTTTTGACATATAAAATGAGGCCCTTACTATGGGAGTGCAGGAGGCAGGGTCCACACAACTGTAGCTAAGAAACATTGATTTAAAGGGGAACAGTAAAGTGTTGTTTAAATTGAGGGTATCGGTGATTGGTGCATAATATGGAGAGCATAAGCTGCCTATTAGCTAGGAATCAACATTTTCCCCAGCTGAATCAAACTGAGAGGGGATCCATGCTCTTAAATGACAGAAGGAAAGGTCTGTGAACTCGAATGGGTTTTGCCAACTCAAGAAATAGTTCAAGAGGTTCACATAATCTCCAGTTCTACAGTAAAATGTTAACTAAAGTGCAATACGCCTAATGTCCACCAGGTGTCAGTAGCTGCTAATATTTTTAAAAGGCCTGACAGCACAATAATTAGGATGGGTATCAATTAGAGGTCCTGGAGTTTTCATTACAGTTTACAAGTAGCATAGGTTTTTGTTTGGAGGCTGTGTTTTAGAACTGGGACCCTTATAACAATACTAATACCTATAAGAACATAAGAATGGGCATACTGGGTCAGATCTATGGTCCATCTAGCGCAGTATCCTGTCTTCCAACAGTGGCCAGTGCCAAATGCTTCAGAGGGAATGAACAGAACAGGGCAATTATTGAGTGATCCATCCCCTGTCATTCAGTCCCAGCTTCTGGCAGCCAGAGGCTTGGGGATCTGAGAGTCAAGCTGGGCTCTTCCTGGCTCATGGATCCCCAGCAGGATTAAAGATTCTGCAGCTGGAACATAGCTGACAATGGCATGGAAGATCCTGGAGCCAGAACAGATTCAGAGCTAGGGTGGCTCTGCAGGGCTGCCCATAAAAGCTCATTTCTGTACACAGAGGCAGCAGCTATGACTCGGGAAGGGCTGACACCTGAACTTGTACCAAAACCACAACCCGGCTTTGGCGTCCCACCTCTTGTTATTTCAGTGTAGATCTGTGTATGGACACCTGTTTCACCTGTTCTGATTTGCTCCTGACTTAAGAACACTCAGAAGAAGGCACTTTGACTCTAGGATAAGATCACCCTTCCCCAGGGTTTGTCTACATGGACATTGCACCAGTCGAACTGGTGTGGTCACATTGCAGCCACTTTAGTTAAGCTGCTGCAAATGCATGCGTGGACCCAGCGCTGGGCATCCTCAGCAGACGTGACCCTCATCCCCTCTATGAGCCTGCTCACTCACCCTAAGAGCCAGCCTGAAAAAGAGGCAGGTGGGAGTGGGGAATGGGTCTGAGGAGATGGGGGCATTGGATGTTCAAACAGCAAATATGCTCACCCCTCAGTCAATTCAGCAGCATCTTCTAGCAGCATGACTAGAACTCGAATCTCCTGATTCCCGGTGCAAGCTTTAACCACTAGACCTTGCTGTCACGCTATTAGTTCAGCAAGTCACAGCTAGTTTTGCAGTGAAGAATGGGCAGGCGTGGTTCCCCTCTGTGGCTCTGGGCTGTGCTGCATTCGACCACTAGATGGGGATATTTAAGCAGTTTGACATAAAATGAGAGTTTCCTGTCCCTGAATGCCACTGTAGATTCTGCTCTGAGCCCGACCGCATGGCAACACTGGTGTAGTGGCGGGCATTGGCACCCCCTGCAGCCTGCCCCAGCCCTGTTAGCCTGCAGGGCTGCACTGTCCTTGCCTTATGACACCTGCCCCCAAGTGCTAACGGAGAGGGTGTCCCAGGTCAGAGCACAGATTGGCACCTGGACTGGCCAACAATATAGTCCTCGCCCCACCCAGAGACTGGCTATCAGCCGCCTGCCCCCTGCAAACAGAGGTGCAGGTCGGAGATGCCATAATCTTGTGCCCGGCTCCAAGGACAGCAGTCAGACCTTGGAGCAAGGGGGTATCTGCTAATCTGGCACTTCCCTCTGCCTTGTGGGGCCCCTCTCGTCCCCTCCTCCCCACCTTCTGTTGGACACATTCATGACCCTGCCCTGCTCCCACCAGGTCATTCCCCCACCCACAGCCCTCTCCCTCAGTCACACATGTGTCCATGGTACTTCCCCATGGTAGGCCGGTTTCCTGGCCATGGACTCCAGAGTGCCATGAACCCTGATGTTAGAGCATCACACGCTTTATTTCACTCGTCAATGCCCTGCTGTACATTAACCACCAGAACATACAGACTAAAACCCAGGGGCACAGCTGAGCTCCACCTGGGCACCAGCGCCCTCCAGTGAGGGCAGATACCCCATCGGGGTTATGGGGAGCAGGCTGGAACACTCACTCTGAGCCCAGCTCCCGCAGCGTTGTCTGGGCAGGCTTCTTCTTTGAGACCCCTCACCGGGCTCCCAAAGGGGCTGGTGCAGTAGGACAAGCTGGCCTCTGCCCTCGGCCCAGCCCCACTCCGCAGCACTAGGCAGGCATTGCTCAGGGGACGTCGTGGTCTGGAATGGGAGAGTCCTTTCCCTGGCAGACACTTACCCCAGCCGCCCCGAGTTCTGACTGCTCACCTGGGACAGGCAAGGGGGCCTCTCGCCTCCAGCAGGACCATCTTGGAGTTTTGCAGCCCCCGGATTTGAACTGTGCCCCCTAATGGAGAGACCTGAAAATGCTTCCAAACAACCCTCTGGCCCC